GAGTCTTAGAGGACTTTGTGAATGGACCTTTGGTCTCTGTTTAATGTGAAATCGAGGCATGAAGACACACTGCAGTGTCACTAATCTGTTTAGTTATAAAAGCCGTGTAGCTGGTTTTCGTTTTATGTCCACCTGTACTATGGTTTATGGTTTCTACTTGCTACGCAGTTTAGATACGCGAGTCCATGTTTTAGATATCTTGGTGTGACTGGAAGAAGATGATCAGTGAGGAGATCTTCATCTGGTGGGAAAAGGGTCACCTCAACTGGGACCGGGAATATACCAAAAATATTTCTGCACGGATACGTTTTTTCTGACGTGTGCTTTAAAGAAGGGAGGAAGCAGAAGAAAGGCAGAGGAAGTAGACAAAAAAAACGCAGCGGAGTTGCCCTCTTTTTGCTTGAGTGACTGTTGGAGGAGAAAACCTGTTGGCAGCTCAGTGTTGGGCGGCTGCGTGTACGTGCAGGGCAGCAGAAAGAGCCCTGTGTGATGCGTCACCCCACATAGTTCGGTCTTTGTTCGACACAATTGATCCAAGTGTATCCTCTTTGTCCCGAACAGAAGGGGGAGAAACGGTCTCAGGCTGCACTAAATAGGCCCTTGTAACCATTTTGTTGTAGTTTTTTTTTTCTTTTTCAAACAAGAGGAAACATGGATTGTTACTGCTTTGGTCATTAGTGACACAATATTAGTCTTATGCCATCTGTTACAGGGTTAAGCCCCAATCATCTTAAAGTTGGAGCACAATATGCTTCACATGGACAGTAGAGGTAAATAAATAAGACTGTGACACTGACATGTTTTTGCATGTGCAGGTACCATCTCAAACAAATCTTTGGAGGTTGAAATTTATATCTTTTTTGACTTTTTAACAGAACAAGAGGGATAGAAAACTCTGTCATCTTAAAGTGCAATTTCAGAAACCCATTTTTTATGTTTCTATATCAAATGTGTTTTTTCTTTTGTTAAAAATAAAAAAGGAGACTCATTTCTGCCCAGATTGTTACAAAGTCACACTCCACTTTTTTCCCCTTATTTTTGGATACTTTTGAGTAAGTAATGTTACAGCCGCTGTTCATCATCTGTCTTCATGTAGTTTTACACGATGGTGACCTCACACAGCACAGGAAACCAGAATGATCTTATGTGTTAACAGGACATTTAGTTTGCAGCATAAACGTTTTGGGCCAAGAATAAGCCAAAGGTTAGCTAACAGACAACATTGCACTAGTTTTAGTTATTTTTATTGTTGTCTGTGAAAATGTACAGAAGATTGTCTTACATGCCCTAGTTACGTCTGTCTTAGTGATATTGTTGTTTTATTTCTTTTGGATTTTGTCCGGATTGTTGATGTTCATATTCTGGAACAAATGGAGATCTACTGAAAATAAATATAGTTTGATAGAAATCGTATCTCTGCGTTCTCACTGCAGTGCTTTCATGTTGACCTATGCACTCATTCCCACAGTCACTGTGGGGGTTTTTAACCTCCCTAAGACTACTAGAGCAATCCAAGATTACTACAGTATAATCGTTGTCATCTGACATACATGAGCAGAGACATTTTTTTTTTTGCTGCAAACACTTGTGCGCCTTGTCTCTCTCTCTGTCATGGTTTTCTTTCTTTTGCCCCTCTCAATCCTCTCTGCTTTTCCATGGGTTTGTGGCAGGATGCCAGCCTGTTAGGAAGATGAGACTCCAATCAATCAGGACTTCCCAGGGGGGCCTCTGACCACAGGGCTCGGCTCCCTAATTGCCCCCAGGCAGGCAGGCAGGCAGGCAGGCTGCAAGGTTCAGCCGCTGCAACACATGTTCACAGAGGGCCGGTGCCGCCGTGCTCGCTGGGCTCCTCAGCATGTGAGACACTGTCCTGGACAGATGGAGGGCTGAGCAGACCGTACCTCAAGCACCATATGGATGAGCCAGTGGATGAAACATGGACGTTTTTGCAGGATCTTTTTAAATTCTTAACATCAAAATAGATGTGTTGCAATTAGATCCAAGTTACAGAGCTCAGCAAGATATCCTGATTATAAAAATAAGTTGCATACATTTTTTTCTGTGCACAGATACAACATTTTAATATGCATATTTATATCATGATATTTCATCCCAGCATATTCTCCTTATAAGAAAAAAAATGCACTTTACATAAAAGGGAAAATTTGTGCAGAACAAAGTTTGTATTGAAAAGTCAGGAAGTACTTTTTCTTTAAAGGATTATCCAAGAAAAGTAATACAGGACCTCAAACTGTGGAAATGGCTTTTAGCTTTTATAGAATATAACAAGTGCACAGGTAAGACTTTCACTATTTACACACTTTTTACTTTACTGTTAGGGTCTCATATGTGAATAATTAAGCAAACAACATATCCTGAATGAAAAAGGGAAAAAAAAAAGTCAAGCTTTTGCCGAAAGGATGAAAGAGGCCGAGAATGTGAAGAAGCCAGATTAAGTTGGAGAAAAGTGTGGGTGTGAGAGACATGCAGAGAGAGGGAGAGTGGAGAGGGGGAGACAGGGGGTGGGGTGGGTGCTCATCAGAGTTAATGATGTAGAAAATCCCCCAATTAGAGCGTTTTCCTGTGTTGCAGGATGAGTTCAGAGTGGGGTCCTCTGACAGACCAGGGATTAGTACCCGGGCCGGGCGAGGCCGAGCTGGGCCTGAGCGGACACTAACTAACTGCTGGACTGCTGGCACTGCTCAGCTGGGGCCGGGTCGGGGCTACAGTCACAGCCGGGGGCTGGGGTAGGCATGCGTTGAGCCACAGTGAGTGGCACAAAGGAAAGCATGGGAAAAGGTTCTGACAGAGGGTGGTTTTCCTGTCCCAATGCTACTAACATTTACTCAACCACTACTCCTGGTCTTATTTGATAAAAATATTAACTTTTTAAAACTATATCACAGCATTACATACAAGAATGTGCTCACCCAAAACATTATCCAATATAATCTGGACATGTGATTAATAGGGAAAAATCAGTCTTGTCCACATATTGCTTGATGTCGGACAATAAATCACCAAATGTGGTGTTGCATTAAGAAGCAGGAACACAACCTTTAATTCTCCCTGATACCTGGAACAATAAATCCTTCTGGATCATTACACAACAAGGAAGCTGGTTAAACATAAACAATGACATCTTTTGTCATAGTTACCTAAAAGCAAGAGATGTAAAATGCAAATGTCACAAACCCATCAGGGACAACTGCACTTTACCCAAGGATGCTTTGGCATGGAGGAGTCAAGGATGGCTCCACCAACCTGAGCCACACCCACCCCGAAACTTACAGCACCTGGTAGTCCAAGGAGGCGGTGATGGGGGTGTGTGTCGCACTGAGACCCCAAAGAGGGGGCAGCTGTTAATATCAGCTACCAAAAAGATTTAAGGGATGTTTGAAGAAGTCTTGAGGCACGAGTGGTGCAAAAAAAGGTGGCATTTATTAATAATAAAATAAATAAATACAAAGCAAATGAAGTCTCTGCTTTGTGCTAACAAAGGCTTTAC